ATAAAGCTTTGTTATGAAATTAGAGGATTTAGGATTAAAGGACGTTAATTGGCAGGTGTTGATATGCACGCATGCACGCATGCACACACACACACACACACACACACACACACACACACACACACACACACACACACACACACACACACACACACACACACACACACACACACACACACAGGAAGGCACACCACTATGGAAACAGTTTTTGATCTGATGTCAAGCTGGGCTGAGACTACAGTCTTAGAGCACAAAGTGATGAACACACTCTTAACATTTTCTCTGCAATCTCTTCCAGGCAACAATCATCCACCTCTGACCTCTGACCTCTCACCTCTCACTCTCACTCTCTCTCACCGCCCATTAGTTCACCTCTCCTTTTGATTGGTCGACATAACAACATCACCATGGTAATCAGCGTGCATTTACTTGGTTTTCTATTAGTGTGATGATGTCAGTTGACAGATATTTAAAAGGCGTGTGCTCTCTGCTGACATGCACTGATAGACGCAGGCACGCAGGCTGTCACACACTCTTGTGTTTTAATTTTTGTTCTTTTGTTTGTGCGCACATTATGCAGGCATGTGCACACCCACACTCAACTATATACACCCACACATCACATAATATGACACAATGGTAACAAATCTGGCTGTCAGTTATACAGAGATATGTTCAACACCTCTGTATTTTAACATGATCTTATTACTAAATGATATACTGAATCATAGCTATCCAATAAACCCGCCGTATGTCCACATTTGGTTATAGGATGATGGGTGAAGAAATATTCCTACGTCATCGAATAAAATCTGCTTAATTTAGCAGAAAAAATACTTCTAACTTCACAAAGCTACAAAAAAGGCTTGATTATATGTTGACATTTTGTCTCAAGACAGCAAAAAAACGCCACAAAATACACCTTTATGTTTGTGTGGGATAATTTGTTGGGAGATTTAATTAAATTCACAAATAGAAAAACAGGTAAATAAAAGGCTCAATGTGGATGTTTTATGAAATGTTGTGTAAATGTTAGAAGTGTGTGTGGCTTCTGGTAATCCAAAACAGTTTTACAGAACACAAAACATGATTTCTTCTCTGTGGTCATAAAAATTGACATCATGGAAATACATGTTTTTATCAAGACAGAAATACATTTGCGAAATCACCTTTTTGTTAGTTTGTCTGTAGTATTCTGTGGTTGAGAGATTGAGTTGAATGCACAAATAGAAAAACAGGCAACTAAAAGGCAAGGGCATGCATGTTTTTTTGTATATTGTGTATATGCGAATGGAAGATTGGTGGGGCCTCTGGTAATCAAACATGTCAACAAACAGATGCAGGAGGCAGAAATAAACAGCAGGAAAAGAGCTCCAGAAAGCCTGACATCATGTCGGAAAAAATTAGGATTCTGGGAGATCAGCAGTGGGAGAGGGGAAGAGAAAAAGCAAGGCAGAAGAAGTGATGGATGGAAAGTATGGCTTTTTTTCTAGAAAAGATCCATGTTTCATGAGGTCAAAGGTCATAAGAACTAAAAGGGCACAATAATATTCATGCAGATGTGCTGCTGCAACTGTAAATGACAGGAGGACAAGATTCCACAAAGTGCTGGTGGAAAAGTTCTCGTAGACGGGAGATAAACAGCTTGATGTTGGGGTCAGAGGTGCAATACCACTCATCGCTTTAGAATATTATATACGAGTCCTGCTTTCAGACACACTTTTCTTACAGGCTACACATCTCAAATAGCATGTGGGTAATAGCCTCCACATGCAAGTGCTAAAACCGATTCTTTCCAAACACTGCAAGAGCTTTAAGACAAGGTCACAGATCCAGGAGGAATTTGGAAGAATCTGTGATGGGATGGAAGAAAATCTAACTATCCTCGTCTTAAGAAAGAGCAAAGAAGAGCTTGTAAGTTTTTTAATTTAATGGTTTTTTTTATAAATATAACCCTTACCTCCAGGCTCGGGACAGATATCATGACCACCTGCTCCGCCCGCTTGGATTATTACTCCAGATGCTTTTACTCAGCCCATAAAAATAACCTCATTCACAGGAAATAATTAAACATTTACCGCCCGGTGCTGAGCCGTCCCTATCATATTTTCAGGAGAGAAACTTAATAAAAGCATTTGTGGTAATTTCACCGAAGATAAATTATCTCTGGCAGAGAAGACTTGCTTGGGGACACACACAAACTCTCTCACACACACACACACACACACACACACACACACACACACACACACACACACACACACACACACACACACACACACACACACACACACACACACACACACACACACACACACACACACACACACACACACACACACACACACACACACACACCACTGTAAAGACTCCTTATGCACATCTGTGAGCCAGAGATAGAGCACTATCTGTCCAGAATGTCATTAACGACCACTGCTGTAGATTTATATTCTCTCAGTTATGCCATATGAGCCCGTCCAATTACATCCATAGTCTGGAGATCATCCGCATGCTCATACACACTCATATATATACACTCATATATACACACACACACACACACACACACACACATACACACACACACACACACACACACACACACACACACACACACACACACACACACACACACACACACACAGAGAGAGATTAGCTTGTCAAATAGGCATCAGAGGCAGCTGCCATGGCGACAACCCTGCAGGGCATCATGAGCTTAATATCCTGATCATTAATGAAATAAACCGGGGATTAGATGATGCTGTGAGTCGGACTGGAGTTAATAAAGAGCGGAAAAATGCATAACACTGAAGTGATGCTTTTAATTTAACATGCAACGTCAGCACTGCCATCTGCAGGAGAGACACACACCTGCAACTCATTTAGATAAGCAGTGCCACCTTTTTATATACAGTATATATATATGTTTACCCTTAATATGAATCTACTTTCAACCGTCAACAAGATATGTCTGCTAGATCAGTGGTTCTCAAATGGGGGTACGCGGATCCCTAGGGGTACGTTGGAGTACTGCAGGGGGTACGTGAGATTTATTTTTATGTTAATTTAAAAAATAAATAAATACCAATTTTAGGAAATGTAACGAAGTTTGAGCAGAGTGGGTTTTATATTAACAGAGTTACACATATTTCAAAACGCGAAGTGTAATAACTGCAGTGGCCTTCCTGTCAGAATGACAAAGATCCTCGGTGAAGCACAAGCCCATGTTTCTCACTACATTGTAAGTACAACTTATTAAAAAGATCCGTTCAATGCAACTAATGTCGTCTTAGTGTTATTGCATGATGTTAAAATGGGTTTGCCATGAATTTAGTGATGGATTGTAAACATTTGAAATGTAGCATTTAAGTGTTTCTCAGTTACTGTTGTTGTTTTAATAAATCAGACACCGATGGTGCAGCACTGTACTGTACCTCTTTATATAGGCATTTCTTCCCTAACAAATTGTTTTCGCGCTGATCAGGGCTGAATTTTTTTTCAAAGGGGGTACATTATTGAAAAAAGATTGAGAATCACTGTGCTAGATGTATGGCTTTTCATCAAAGAGTGATTTGTTTCTCCTTTGACTGTTTCATCTGAATTATTTTTAGGTTCTTTCTAAAGAACCTAAACCTACATCTAAAGATGTAAAATTGCATTTCAACAAGAACAAAAAAGATTGTGTTATTAACTATTTCTACCTCATTTACATAATGTCTCGACTCTTTCGGGGGTCCCGATCAGCAGGTTGAGAACCACTGCTCTAAACTGACTCTATGTGATATATATTCTACTTGTTCATGTAATCACACTACATATCTTAACAACTACTATTGCACTTACACTAGTACCATGTTGAAGTCACACTCCTGAACATCAAAGGAGAAAAAAAAAGAAAATCCACAACACTATTATGTCATCTGCAGTGGCTGGTCCACATTTTAAATACAAAACATAACATGAAATATTATGCATTTTTATAGATTCAACCACCTAACAGAATATAAGTTTGTCAGACCAGCTCCAACATTAAACTTAGCTTACATCCCAATGTGTTGATAATAATCTTCTCTGTTTCTTATCCTATATCTAATAGAACTGCTCGGGTCTTGATAGATTGAGTGGGGAAGTTCATGAGATTGTTTTAGAGGGTTATCAAGAATAACTTTTATCCAATGACCTTTTCCCTCTCTGTCTGTGTCTGTGTATTCTCTTGTTCCGATTAACCCAGCCAAATCTTTTTTCTTGTTTTGTATCTATATCTACTCCGGGATCCGGAGTCGAGGCTGATCCTCTTGCTGTAGTCCTGTGTCTTGGATCCTCTATCCTGAGTTCTGGATTAAGTCGTGGACTTCGGGTCGTGGCTGAACCTGTCTCTGCGGTCCTGCCTTGGGTCTCGCCATGCTGCTTCCCTGATGGCTTCCACAGGATTGTAGCTGACATCCTCGTGGATTCATCTTCTTATTACAGACACATGCATTTCCTAACATTCGGTCTATATGCTGTAAAATGTATTATCTCTTCGATTTACACACGGCATCTATTGCACGTCTGTCCGTCCTGGGAGAGGGATCCCTCCTCTGTTGCTCTCCCTGAGGTTTCTCCCATTTCCCCCCCTCAAACTGTGGGTTTTCTCTGGAAGTTTTTCCTTGTACGATGTGAGGGTCTACGGATAGAGGGTGTCGTTTTTCTCATACTGATATTCTGAACAATCTGTGCTGTTGTATTTGCTGTAAAGTGTCTCTACTGTAGGCTATTTTTATTATATGTACAGCACTTTGGCTCGACCAAATATCGTTTATAAATGTGCTATATAAATAAAACTTGATTTGATTTGATCATCCCAATAATACACTGTAATATATGCAATAGTGTAAATGGGTTAATTTACAAAACCTGTGCCAATATTTTTGACAACATATATACTATATTTGGATGATAAAACTTCTTAACCCTTATTTAAGTAACAATTTGAAGGACATTCACTGGTAACAGAGTTGTTTGACATTGGGGAATCACAACTTTTATTAAAGTAAAGCTTCTGAGTTTGTCTTTGTCTCACATCAGCCCTCTCTCCTTTTCCCTCATCTAGTTAAGTGTCTAATATTTTTGTGCGGTAATTACATGCAGACAGAATAACATAAATAATTTATTCCAAGGGAATCCCAGTGCATTTCTTCATAAAGCAAAACAAACTTTACAAAGCCTCTTTAAAAAACATGTTGATAGAAAACAATCGAACAGCTATCTGTAGTAAAACGTGCCACCACAAGTATAAATCGTATGTATAAAATAAAGATTTTCTCAATATTTGCTTATCTTAATATTTCGTTTTTAGTTACATTCTTTAGAGTTTGTATATTTAAGAGGTTTGTACACTGACAGCGGTGTCAAGTAGGTACCTCACTCTTCAAATGGGCTGTGAATGATGTCGAGCTTGAGCTTCAAAGGCAGTCGAGCGTTTTGTGGGTTCATGGTGGTCAGATCTTAACAGAAGTCTGTTAGGAGCTCTTGCAGCAGCCTCTGCGCTCCTCCTGCCCGTCCCCGGAGAGTCCGATGGGGCTGGACAGGGTCACAGCACTGATGGAGCCACGGGTCACCTCTCTGCTGGCCACCTTCTTATGGATGGCTGGAAAAAAGGAAAGGAAGACAGCAGGTTTGCATCAGTAGGTCGTTCAAAGAGGATGTACTATAGACAGAGAGACTGAACACACCTGTGAGGACTTCATTGAAAGCATGTTCGACATTAGTGGAGTCCAAGGCTGACGTCTCCATGTACATGAGACCTCTCTTCTCTGGGTTGTTCCAAGGGGGGAGGAAATCAAAAATCACAATAAACAAACACTGTTGTTTCCAAGGAGCAGTGTTACCACAAGTGAGCTTTAAACACATTTTATTTTCACAGGAAACCTTTCACAAAATTCTCATCATATAACAGACCTGCAAAGTCTTTGGCCTCCACTGAGGGCACCGTCCTGAGGTTCTCCAGGTCTCTCTTGTTCCCAACCAGCATGACCACGATGTGAGGGTCCGCATGGTCCAACAGCTCTTTCAACCATCGATCTGCGCTCTCGTAGGTCAGGTGCTTGCTAATGTCGTAAACCAACAGAGCTCCAACTGCTCCCCTGTAATACCTGAGTCCACCAGGTGAGAGAACATGAGTTAGATTTAATTATTCAAACTGGCAGCTCTCTGCTTATTGCAAAAAGTGTGACTGATAATTGTATGCAGTGTTACTTAAACTGACAAAGATGTGTGCGCCAAATGTGAGAATTGCATCTTCCTTTATAGTGTATTTATTATACGTGAGTGTGTGTTTGTTTGTGTGTGTGTGAACCCACGCTGAGGTGATGGCCCTGTAGCGCTCCAGCCCGGCTGTGTCCCAGATTTGGGCTTTGATGGTGTAGTTCTCCAGCTGAACGGTCCGCGTGCTGAACTCCACGCCGATGGTGGTGCGACTTTCGTGATTAAACTCATTCTTAGTGAAGCGAGACAGAAGGTTGCTCTTTCCTACGCCAGACTCTCCTATTAAAACCACTGAAACAAGCACAGACGGGAGAAGATGAAAATCAGTCATTAGTAATACTCACGCGTGACCTTTTTTAACTAGTTTTATGGCACATGGAGTTCAAAAATAGATCTGTTAATTGGTCAAAACTATAACTTTCTGGGATAAATCAGATTAACTTGATCGGATCTAATACTTGCTGTCACCCTCACGAGACACCAAACCCTGTGACATCCCATAAATGTGGCACCTCAGTGGCTGACTTTACTTTGGAATGAATGGAATAAAAAATCCTAGGTCGTTTAAATATTATACAAACCAAATAACAGCTTCTCGGTGGAGCAGGAAATGTCAGATGTTTGTTCAGTAGGTCAAAGGTCAAATTGTTTACAGCCAAAAAGACAGACATCACCTCCACAGAATATAGAGCAGGAAGTTACAAAGGAGGGTTGTACCTGACATCTTGCCAGCTTCTGTTAGTACAGAAGTAACACACACTATTTAACTTGAACCTCTTCTTAAACAATCACAGCTCAAATAAACACGACTCACCTTTAAAGACGAAATTGTACAACTCATCAGTCCCCATGGTGCATTTAGTAGCTTTCCTCTTTCACCTAGCAACTATCCTGAAGCCACTTGCAATATTTTTGAAGAGTTTGAGAAAACAAAGAAAGAAAAACAAATGATCTCCAGTTTCCTCTTCTTCCAATGTGAAAAGCAAGAGAGAGAAAAGGTGAAAATGAAGAAAAAGAGAAGAGGTTTAGCTGCTTCCACCGCTTCCTCCTTTATCTGTGGATAGGGGCAGCTTCAGATTGAGGACAGGCATGCGAGAGTCCTGTCGCCTGCCGATCCCTCATCAGCTGACACCCGAGGGAGCGCTGGGGAGGAGAGCAGGTGGAACAGGTAGAACCACTGGCAGCTAGTTATTAGGCACAGACCCCACCCATCCTTTCATTTGTAGCACAATAAACCTGACCGACAGCCATTTTGCCAATCATTTGAACAAAGGCTGAAAACGTTGGTAATATTTAACGTTTTCTTTCAGGTTAAAATACTAGGTCATGGATACTTTGACTCATTCATACCATGACAAGATTGCGTAATAAAAGATTGAGGGTAAGGCTTAATTTTTCAGGTCAATACATCATTATTTAATAGATTTCTAAATGTTTCCTGGAAGCAATTTGATTGCAAAAGGCAATTGCGTTCAGTCAAATAAAAAGTAGTTGAATTGAAAACTAAGTAAATATTAATTCACTAGTTTAGTTATGACTTGAAACCTAGGAAAGTTTAGGCTCTCATGTAGAAATTATTTCACATTTCTGAGTTTAACGCTATTATTATTAAACAACGTTTGTAGGCAAATAAGCTATTTAAATAAAACTGACTCATCTTTTTAAAGAAAAGTTTTCTGTTAATTGAGGGTTAAATATAAGATGCTTTCTATTGGCATGTAAAATAAAGTGTCACCCAAACAACCTGTGCCTAAACTACCTTTCAATATGGCCCAACAGATATCTCAGTGTAGAACATTTTCATATCAAACAACAAACAGAAGCAGATCATAAACGTAATGACTTGATATGAACTTCAAGAGCAGGACATTTGAATGAAAAGCTACACACTCCTATCTACACCGTCACAAGGCTATAATCACCTGACACAGGGCGTAGACTGATTTTGACCATGTTTTATTCTTTTTTAGTACAGTACTGTTAAAAGTTAGTTTCAACATGTTCAATTGTGAGATGGATTTTTTTTTTTCAAGCTGAGGTCAACAAACAAAGCAAAGCTATAGAAGCAGTTGCCAAGGTTACCACAACTACAATGCTGACATTTTCAAAAAGGAAGAAAAAAAATAAGACAACCTATAACTTGATTTTAGAAATGTATGGTGACCATACCATACATGTTCGTAAAGCCTTTCCATTCATTTACTTTTTACTCAATTGATTTCAATGTTTATTTTTATGCGTGACAAATCACAATTATCTCTAGGTACTAACTGCACCCCAAAAAAAGAGAAAATATAATTAAAAAAGAAGAATCAGATTAAAAAGAACGTTGGTTTCATTCATATTCATCCTAACAGCGTCCTCCGGAGCTGCTACAGAGTGATATTTTGTTATGGTTACGGTCCTGGATGATCATGTGTGAGATTTATTAGGGCGTCTAATTGACCCACTGAAGGGGGAGTGTCATTTGCCGACAATGCTCTTATAGGGCAGGGGGGGACAGAAGGCACAGCAGCGGTGCCTCAGAAGGAAAAGACACCCGTGAGTGGGCACTTTATTTTTGGAATGACAAATTACAAGTTTAGGGAAGTGTGGAGGCCTTAATTTTCTTAAGCGCTTGCAATAAATAGTGAAAGTCATCGGGCAAAAACAGCTATTTATGAAGAATCTCGAAAGCGGGGAAAGAGGGAGGAATGGGTTTGAACGTCTGTATGGACAAGATATCTTCCTGGTCTTGTTCATGATTTCCGTCTCTATACCAGAAAAGATTTTCACGAACTGATTAGCTAGATAAATGCTAACAAACTGCAACACAATGGCCGTGTGTGAAACAGAGCCAACAGCCAATCACATCACATGGGTTTAATCTGTATTATGCAAATGTTTGTCTGCAACACTCGACTCCAGTTTAATGGGAAGAAGACAATGAATGAAGAAATGCTTGGGAGTCCCTTTTCAGGAGAGGTTTTCGCTCCTTTTCTCTGCACCAGAACACCCCTCAAGGTGAGATTGGTTCAGTCCAGCTCTACAGCAGCACTCTGGGACAGAGATCTGGCTGGACGACGCCAAAAAGAATAGGGACTAGGGAAATAATCTGAGAACAGATGTAGAATGAGGGTCTGACAGATCCTGCCCAAGTTTCTTCTGTAAAGTTTGGGACAATACACTTAAATTTCTCTTGGTTCTCTGTAGATGCTGGGTGTGTTTATGACTTAGGTATGTTTGAATGCACATGTCTGTGGATCAGTATGTACTGTATGTCTTTACGAGGGCTGTGAGCCCAGCAGTCTCTCGATAGCGGCGTTGATGTCTCCTCCAGTAGCGATGAGGGCCTGCAGGTTGGCCTCGGGGTTGATGAAGCCCATGGAGCTCAGCTGATCCAGCTGGGACTGGAACCGCACTTCGGGGGTCTGGGGCTGCAGAGGCGACAGAAATGGAATAAAAAAAATTATGATTACATTACATTTAGCTGACGCTTTTGTCCAAAGCGATTACAATTAGTCATTCATCCAAAATTGAAGGATGTAACATCAGTGCATGTGTGTGTGGTTGTACCGTTGCACTTCCTCCTAGTCCTCCTGCTAGTCCTCCTGCTAGTCCGCCTACTAGTCCTCCTCCTACTCCTCCTCCTCCTCCTCCACCAGCAAACATCTGGAGCATCTGTTGCATCAACTGCTGCTGGGCGGCGTTTGTTCCTGCACCGCCGGGTGAGGAGGCCGGGTTATCTGTTGGCAGGCCCCCACCTGTGGGTATGCCAGGAATCCCACCAGGAATCCCACCAGGAATCCCACCAGGAATCCCACCAGGAATCCCACCAGGCATCATACCAGGCATCATACCAGGCATCATACCAGGCATCATACCAGGCATCATACCAGGCATCATACCAGGCATCCCACCGGGAACACCACCGGGAACACCACCGGGAACACCACCAGGACCACCACCAGGAAGTCCACCTGTCATCAAACTACACCAAATCAAAAAGCAGAGGAGTTGAGAAAAACTAAATCATCAACATAAAGCACCATGTTTTAGGTGCGAGTGATCCGTACCTGGGCATGAGGCCCGGAGCTTCTGTCTGCAGCGTCTGTAGACCCTGCTGGATCTGCATCAGAGCCTGCATGGCCCGGGGGTTGGTCATCACTCCCATGGCTTCTGGGTTCTGCATCTGCAGACAGAGAGAGTAACAATCAGTTCACGAGTTGATCAACTGAGAATTAATGGCCAACGATATTATAATAATATTATTTTGTATGTAAATATGGCAGAAAGTTACGTGTTGAGTAGGGGTGTAACGGTATACGTACCTAAATTATTCAGTACGGGCCCTTCGGTTCGGTACACGTGTGTACCGAAGTGTACCGAACTAATATAACGTTAAACGTAAAAAATTGAGAACGTGAACAACTTCTTGGAAGTAATCTCAGGTGCTGCGTCGCAGCATTCAGAGTAATTTGCTCACATTGGGTTCAGCGCGTCATAGAGCGAGCAAGTCATTTCATTGGACGAGAGGCATACTATGAGAGCTGGTCACAGGGATGCGTTCAAATTTAGTCAGTAATTTGAGGAACTGTCGGAATGGCGAACGCAGATAAAGTTGAGCTCGGAAATCTCCGGTTTGGGAACATTTTGTTACGTACAAGGATGACGGACAAAGACAGGTGGACCGAACCAAAGCTGTTTGTCGGCATTGTTCAACTAAAATTGGTTACGCCGCTGGCAATACATCAAACTTGCACACTAATTTGAAAAGGCATCACTCGAACGTGAATATCACCGGTACCAAAAGAAAAAAGACTGAAGTGCAAACCCAACTCCCACTAGCATTCAAGCCTCCACCACTCGCAGAGAGTTCAGACCGAGCCAAAGCTATTACAAACACCAAATATCCTTATGTTGCCATGTTAGCAAAGCGCTACCTGGCTGTGTCTGCTACCTCTGTCCCTAGAGAGGGTGTTCTCCACAGCAGGAGACATTGTTAGTGCCAGCAGATCTGCCCTTTCGGCAAGCAATGTGGACAAGTTCATCTTTCTTTAAAAAAAACATGAAAATACAATGACAAGCAAGTCCTAATGTCAAACTGGCTGCTTAGGTACAGTACAGTTCAAATACAGATTATTTCAGTTCATCGACATGCTGCACCTTAATGTTTATTTTATTATATTTTGTCTTTATTTGAGTGAATACATTATTCACAGTTTAATAATAATAAAAAATATATATATATATATTTTATGATAATTTTTTCTGCTGTACCGAAAACGTGCCGAACCGAACCGTGACCTAAAAACCGAGGTACGTACCGAACCGAAATGTTTGTGAACCGTTACACCCCTAGTGTTGAGCCTATTAAATATGGAGATTCCCTGCTTGTATTATTCCTTAATAAACTGAACATCTTTGTGTTTGGGACTGACAAGACAAAATATTTTAATACATCACCTTGGACTTTTAGAAACTGGAATGAACAATTTTCACTATTTTCTGACATTTTAAAGACCAAACAATGAATTAATATAATAATAATCTGCCAATTAATTGAACCACGAAAAATGTTTGATAGCTGCAGCCCTAGAATAAACCAACCAATCACTGGATGTGCAGTTACAATAAGGAACATTTTGACATTGAGTTTATAAGTAAAGGACTAGTGGTTCATCAAAAAAATCTTAAAAATGCCAAAAATGAATGGCACCTATACTGTATACCGTACTTCAGACAGAAATGTTCAGCCTGTGTAGATAAACATCTGTGTTAAGTCTCACAATACTGGAATCAAAGCTTGTTACAGTGTCACTGTTGTGTTTTTAAGGAAAAATGGACTGGGTTATTGACTGAAGTGTGTGTGGTACCTGCTGCAGGAAGATGGGTAACTGAGATCTAAACTGGTCCTGCAGCTGTGGGTTTCCAGCAAACAACGGGTTATTCATCAACACCTGGTACAGAGAGGGAAAGAAAGAGAACCAAGTTTATGAATCATTCAACATCTGGCTACGCTTCTCACTCACTAAAGTAACATTTCAAATGATATACTGTTTGGTTTAACACTTTCTTGCTGGCAGAATGTTCAATCAGAGAAATAAAAGCTCTGGAGTTTCCTTGGGAGTTTCTTTTCCGTACAGTC